TGTGTGTGTGTGTGTGTGTGTGTGTGTGTTATGTATGGTATTTAAGTCCCATAAGCCAAAGTCAGCAGAGGCAAATTCATAAACCACCACTTTGGGTTAAAAAACAACAACAGAAAGTGTCCCTCTTCTGCATGATAATTGGACCTTGGTTAACTCTGGGAACCTACTCCACACATCAACTACTTGTGTGGGGTTACGTGGGGCTGAGGAGGAGCAGACAGTCTGCAAAGGTGCTCTTGTGTGGAGTAGTTCTCTCACAAGGTACCAGAGAGCTGTCCTGTTAAATGTCACAGTGGCTACTGACACTTAACGTTCCAGACTTCGTGTAGGTCAGAACAGCTCCCGTCTGTGCCAGCCGTGTACCTCACCTATCTGCAGGTGAGCCGACTGCCTGCCTGTGGACGGCCGCAGCGACGCTCCCCGGAAGCACACTGGGAGCTCGCTGGCAAGCTGTGGCTCTGTCCCGTCCCCTTCTGCACAGACCCACTCTGTGAATCTGCATGTTTATGTCTTAAGAAGACATGCTGGTGGGGCGATGAGCAGTTAGTGCTTAATTCACAGGGCTGTTGTGAGGATTCTGTGAGGTCCCTTACACAGGCGTGGATCATTTCACGTCCTTTCAGACAACGTTGAAAGGATCCTTTCAGATCTCCACTGGAGTCCTAAATCTAGCACTGTACCTACCACCCCTAGCCCTGGAAGGCTCAGAGAACAGTCTGGCGCCCACCTGCACTGCCTGTCCCGTGGCACTGGCTCACGGAGGGACCAGCAGCTGCAGAGGAGGGTGAGCAGGGCTGGAAGGGTTGAAAGCCAGTTAGGAGGGAGGGGGAAGCTACTTGGGGAGCTAGCACTGGGCTGGGAGGTGGCCAACTTGTGGGGGAGTGCTTGCCTCAGTGGGTGGAGGCTGGCATGGCTTTTGGGCACCAGACAGGGGTACCAGCAAAGGTCGGTGAGTCCCTCAAGGGAGAGGCTCAGGCCCTGGGCTAAGTGGTGTCCATCCTGCGTGCAGGTCTTTCATATACAATATGAGGTTTGTATAACGTCCATGCAAGAGGCTGCACCACAGAACACACTGTGGGCACTAAGTGACATAAGTCTGTGTGATCCATGCGGGAAACGCAGGCGCTGTTATTTTCTATAGTACAAAGGCGGAGTATCACCTGGTCACGCCTGTGTGTTTTGTCTACCTTACTCCGACGCTGCAGGTTTCCGGCTCTGTGAGGACCTGGCATGTGCCCCAGGCTGAGTTCCGTGTGTGGACTGGCTGGCTGGGAATCAGACCCGAGCGAGAGGCACGTACAAAGGTGGATAGAAAAACTTCCTGCCAAGAAACCAGGCACCTCCATGTCGTCTCTGAGACTGGTTCATACGTGTCCATAGCACATGCTTCTTACAGTATGTAAGAAAATCCTCTCCTATCACCCCACGGGGATTTGGTCAG